ACGATGTAGCGTGTATCGTTGCTTTTTCGTTTGTTTATTCTTCCGATACCATATATCTTGACACCGAATGCACCATGCCGGGGAAAGGGATCGAACCTTTTGATCTCTGACTACAATCAGATGCATAGAACCACTACGCCATCCCCGGCTTCGATAGTATTATTATCATCAATAATGACGTATGATTCGTACGACATATTTATCGATAAAAGTTCAAAATGAGAGATTATCAATGCGGTTTATAAACTCTTTTTTTATTTCTACATTGTTTTTTCCCTTTTTTTGCCGTAGTGAAGAAGAAAATCGAGATTTGATTCTATTATTGTTTCATATGTTACGTGCTCTTCAACATGGCAAGTAAATCAAATACAGACTTGGATGTCAAATCTATTTTTTGTCTTTTTTTTTCTTAATTACATAATAATTGACTTGTGTTTCTTATGTCATTGAATATATTCTACAAATATTTTTATTTTAAATATCCTTTTATCGAATATTTATGATTGCATTTATAAATTATCCTATGCTACAAGAAAAAATACCTTGAAAACTCATATTCATTTTCATAAACTTCTCATATTACTGACTTTATAGATAGATAGGAACTTACCATTGATAAATTATCGTTTTCATCTTGGAATTTATCTCAAAAATAATAACGAAAAAAAACCCATTTATTACAATATAATATAATTTATCATCCGAGTAACATAGATCGATCAATTTAGCAACGAAAACATTAGTTTTATTTGAGGTTTAAAAAGAACAATCGATTTTTAATAGTTGATATGAATAAAAGCACATTTTGTGTATATATTTATAAGATAAGAATTCAATTTTATAAGATGATCTTATAGATTGTTTTATCTTAACTTAGATCGAACATTTCCCAAGTCTATTTAATTAAATATGTCAATAACTAGAATTCTGCTCCAAAAAAAAAAAATCTTCATGTAATTCTTATTTATATTGTTCATATTTGATAATAATTTCAAGATCATATTAAAAATAAACGATATCTTTTTTTCTGCTATCGAATTTATTAAGAACATTTTAGATATTCAAATACTTTTTTTGTATTAATAAATACCTAATTATAATTTGATTGGATTATATTCTTACAAATATTTGTCCTATCAAGATCAAGTAAATATTAATATAGATATTGACCTGTAAGATTTTCTTTGTGCATATGGAAATCAATGTGCTCTTTATTATCAAACTAAATTCACCGTGAAATTCGATGTCTAATCAAACACTTATGTTCGATTTTTGATATCTGAAATTGAATCTGTGTATTTTTTTTTCAACTGATATTTAACAATATTCGAACAGAATTATCTCCATTTTGACTTCAAATAGAAGTCATATTTGAAATTACTACGAAAAATTAAGCATATCTATGCATCTTTGAAATTCTTTCTAGAATTACTTGTTTTTTTTTGGTTGAATTTAGACTGCTTTTTCCTATAAAGAATATGCCAAAAAATGAATTTTGTTTAAAAAGAAATAATTTGTATGTACATACACCTCGAATTTTCTCTTCAAACGACATTTTACTGGTACGTAACTTCATTTTAGCTATGTAAACGTGTTTTCTTTAATCAAACTGATATTTGGACATACCTTTAAGGAGACGATGGGTAGAATTCCGACAAAAATAATTATAGAAACAATTTTAGATAGATATAAGAATAATCTTTTAGCTTTGTTCATTCCAAATTGGATATTTGTTTGAAGCCAAAAAGACGATAATTATGTTCGAACATTATTGAATATCAATCATAAACGACGCACGAATGTCTTTCATGCATAATCACTCTATTGAATATGTCTTTCGAAACATCGAATTTCGATTGAATAAAGATTATTGGTTTTTATGAAAAAGATTGATTAAACTTGAACATATGCTTCAGAGCTGCCAGCCTGGCCTACCGGCTTGCACCGGCCTGCTAGCCTGCCAGACCAGGCTACCAGGCCAGGCTGACTTTTTAAATTTTGGCCTGGCCTGATCAATTGTTACTTGAGATGTTAGACATAACTCATTTGAGCGTTAGATGTCGCTATAAATCAAGTTAAATGTTAAATTAAAATAGAAATGATTGGTTTAAAGTACTCCAACGCGCACAATAAGAGAGAGAACAAACGCTGAAACTGAGAAAAAAAAATTAATAAATGCATTGTATCTTTTCTGAACGAAAATAATATGAATCAAGTGCAAAATAGCAATAAATTCATTTAATTGTTTTATATATTTTTTAATATGGACAATTACCTTATACACTCAAGTTCAGCTCATGATAAATATCCTGCATCATCATCTTCCACCTTTTCGTCAATTTCGATTTCAACAACTACAGATGCTTCTTCATCTTCTATTTCTCATATTTATACAACAACTAGTAAAAGTACCAATATTTTATCGTTATTTCCTTCTTCATTATTAGTTTTAGATTCAACAAATACAAAAGATTCATCATCGTCGTCATCTTCTATTTCTATGTTGACAAATACAAATGTTCCACCATTATCTACTTCTCCATCAACTATTCTTAATTCATCACGTTTTTCATCATCATCATCATCATCTACATACACAAGTGACAAAATACGATTTCTATTAAAAAATGAAAAACAACGATATGAAGTGATTTCAAATAAGGCCAAATCAGCTAAAGCTCAACATTGGTCAAATTTTGGATTTCCTGCAAAATTGAACGAAAAAAACTGGTATTTTTGAAAGAATAATTGATTTTGTCAGTTGTAATAATTGCAAGAAAACGTTTGTGTATAACTCGAATAGTGGAACTTCACATTTAAAAGAACATTCGTGTACATCAAATCTAATTCAAACATCTACAACATCTGTAATGAAACAGCCAACAGTCGAACAGTGTCTTACAGTTCAGAAAAATTTAACTACTGATCAATCAACAGTTATTAAAGATCTTATCACACGTTGGGTATGTACTGATATTCGTCCGTTTTCTATTATAGAAGATGGTGGACTTAGATTATTGATACAAGAATGTGTAAAACTCGGTATGTGTTTTTGTTTCTCTGTATCTTATTTTCATACGTATGTTTAGGAAGTCTTTATGGTAATATAGATGTTGATAATATTCTTCGAGGTCGAACTACTATATCAAACCATATATATAAACTTGCTGATGCATCTCGTCAACAAATCAAATTAATATTACAAGAACCATTTGAAAGTGGATGCTTATCAATATCTCCAGATTTTTGGAATGACAAATATCGACAAATATCATATCTTGGTGTTACTGCAACATTTTTCGATTCTAATTACCATTATCATACAATTGATCTTTTATGCCGACCATTTGAAGGACCTGATAAAAGTAGCACTAATGTTTTAACGGTACGTCTCCGATTGTATTTTTAAGAACACATTATAATCATCTCGATTGTGTTTTTATATTTTAAGGCATTACAAAATGAAGTTATACGATTTGAAATTGATGATCTATATAGTCACAATCGTTTGTGATAGAGGTAGCATAAACTTCTTAAAAGCTTTTCGATATCATCATCCACTTTTGTGCTATGCGCATCGACTTGATAATATTTTAAACAGAACGTTTTTTTAGCACAATAAATACTCGTCCACTACACTGTTACCACTTGTTTATAATGGTTCTTCATGCAGCGAAATAGAAGATTAAGATGATGGTGATTGTTTCAATAATCGGTCAAAGTCAATTCAAATTAAAAAAAAGAAATTATCATTATCTGTCAGAGGTATTGAAGAAACGGTGATGACAATTAAAGTTGATGATATATCCTTGACTGCTCAAGAAGTAATAAGAACAATTATCGAATGCAAAGCCTTGACAAAATATATTAAAAAAGGAAATATAAAACAGTATCGTACTAAAATTTATTCTGTAAAGTTTTCTTCTGTTCCTTAGACCGATTAAATAAAGAGATTCAAGCAGCTAGTGGAAATGTAATTCGACAAGCTACGAATGTTCGTTGGCTTTCTCTGATCTATTTATTAGACAGTATTCGTACATCATACATGGAAATAAAAGTTATATTAAGCCGCCGAAAAAATCAGTCACGATTAACAATTATTAGTCAAATATTGTTGGAAGATATTATACGATTTTTAACGCCATTCAAGTCAGTATTGAAACTAATACAAGCAGGATCAAAACCAACATTATACTTAGTATTACCTTGCACTTTCACTATTCACAAGGTATTAAATTCGTTTGATGATTTATTGGACCACGTAAAGAAATATCCATCAGATGAAAAAACAAAAAATAAATTACATAATTATGTAGATGATGATAATTGTTTTAGCTGCGAAGAAGATGAAGATAATTAAAATAAGAGACTCTCAATATACTGAAGTAACTATTTTAGGTTTAAAATATATTCGTGAACGTACATCTGTTTTATTCTCCAATATGTTGGAATTGGATTCTCGGCACTATTGTGCTACCGTACTTCATTCTGATTATCGAACTCTACGTGGCTGCTCAACACATGAAAAACTGGTGTGTCATCAATTTATTCGTGAACAGCTAAAAAGCATGCATCAGCAATCAATTAATAAAGATGGTGAATCACAAAAGAAGAAACGATTAAAAATTGATCACTTATCGATATTAGATGATTTCAAAGATGATCCAGAAGCTAGTGATTATGATGAATGTAGCGATGATGATGACGTTAAGAGCGTCGAATATTCATTACCAGTCACAAAGTCCGATGAATTAAGCAAATATTTATCAATGAAAATCGGTATGAAACAATATTCATCTGATGTTCTTACATTCTGGCGAAACAACGCTGATGAATTTCCAAATCTTTCTAGACTAGCTAGACGAATTCATTCAATTCCAGCAACCAGCGCAGGTGCGAAGCGCCAATTCAGTATTGCTGGACTCGCGCTCAGTGAGAGACGAAATAGTTTAGATCCTGAACAATTAGATAACATTATATGTATCCGTGCAATGGAAAAAATGAAGGGGAAGATATAGGTTTTTTTTATGTAAAGATTAGTACTTTTTTTTCTTTAAAAGATTGTACTTTATGTTTTATATATTTTCGAAACTGTTTCATTTGCTTTTCTTGTTTCTTTCATTATATTTTCTTGTAATTTATTGTAAACTAGTCGGTGTTTAAAAATTTTCGAATAGTAATTATTTTTTGCTGTGAAACAGTTGTGGTGACGTTCCAGGTACTTTCTCTTCTAGTTTATGAGAGTTCTTTTTTTTTATATTATGGTTATTATGGAAGTAGAAATAAAAAATAAGATTAATGTTAAATAATATCACTAAGTATGCAACTTAATGTATATTTATGTTAGAACAATCGATTGCAGTTTTTAAGTTTATTATAAGCCTGCAGGCCAGAACAGGAGCAGGCCGAGTAGCTTTTTTTGGCCTGGCCTGCTTTTCTGAACGGCGTGCCAGGCCAGGCTGAAAAAAGTGGCCTATTGGCAGCTCTGATATGCTTCATATCAGACTAAAGTCAGTTTTATTTTAAGAAATTATGAAATTTTACTGTTCAAATTCAATTTATATGAAAATTAAAAAGAAAAAAACAAATTCACATTGTGTTTTTTTTTCAAAAATTGACTTGCATGAGAACTAATATGAATATATGAAAATTATGGAAATCAATAGAAAAGTTAATACTCTATTTCATCATTTATACCAGTTTCTAGTAAATATTGAGAATAAGTATAATTATAAATATAGAATTCGATAGAGAAACAAATATTAAATTGATCCTAAGAAAAATAAGACTATTTTAAGTACTCTAATTATACTAGGTAATACAAAAGTAAATAATTACAAAATTACTCAAAGTAAAAGCCAATGCTCAACTTCTTGTCAAATGTCATTGAATTTTGAGACAAATTGCATCAATAAAACATAACGAAAACAATATGGTTCAGTCGAACAATCGATGATCTATCTATCTATATAAAAATATAGTCATTTCTGAAGCTTTGAAAATAAAAACAAAAACACGCATCAAATTGAGTGCAACTATCGAAAATAATCTGTGCAATCAATGTACTTACAACAAATAAAAACTTAGCGTAAAGTTTTAGTCTTGAAAGACTATTTGTTATGCCATGTTTATAACATGTACTTAAGTATATTAACTATTTTCTATGATTATGTTCTATATGAGATACTAGCATTTTGAATGAACTCAGTATTTTCAAAGGCAAATAACTACCTTTTATAAATAATTGCTGATAGAATCAATATATCATTGAAATTATTTTATAAAATGTATCATTTTAATGTCCACTATTTACTCGATTGCTTTTCAATTATTATCGATTTCCAAACATTGAATAGTTTTAGTAGCCATATTATTCACGTCAACATTATCATCAATCTATGAAAATCAATTGCTAAAAGAAAATGTCCTTGAGAGAATGTTGTCATCGATCGATTCTTTATTATAATAACCTTGTCATCATATCTTTATAAATATTCGATCCGACAATGACTTATAAAATAAGATATTTTATTTGATGATTATATATTTACCTCAATGATTGACATTATTCCACCAAATATTTATTTTATCCTATTTTCATCTTTCATAAACATTTGACAATGTGTCTTTCTATCTTTAGTCTTTTTTAATCGTTTTTTTTACTCATTATAGTACTTCTAGTGTCTGATTGTGGGTCTTACGCAGTTTAAAGTAGGATTGAGTAGAGTATTGCCATGTAAATGTCAGTTTTTGGCTGAATGTTTCGTTTTCTTTAGATTTATTCATACTTGCCAACATACTTACATCGACATTTTAAAGGCACTTATGTGAGTAAAATAAAAATGGGAAAAAATGAAGTTTTCATCGACCCATTACGGTTGAATAAAATTTATTTAAAAATCAATTGGAAGTATCAAACAAGCCGTCTACACAGTTATCAATTTATTGAACAAAAAGATTATTAAAAAAATAAGAATTAGCTTGATCATCGAATGAAAAATCTAATTATAAACAAATATCATCAATTTGATATACTATTTAAAATGTTTGATGGAATAGTTACATCATTAATAAAAATCTACGAAGTAATATCAACTAAAACAAGAGATAACTTTGTCAAATTTCAATCATGGGCATTTGTAAATATGTAAATATTAAGAGGTAAGTGCAGCTAATGTTTGAGAGATCTTGGATTTATTTGATTTGAAAAGAATTCATATGAGCTTTCGACCTATGAAGAGGTCATCATCAGATACACAATCAGAAAACACTGAAACAAAACAACATGAACGAAACACAAACAAGAAACACAAACAAGAAACACAAACAGAAACACAAACAAGAAACACAAACAAGAAACACAAACAGAAACACAAGCTAGACAACATTAGCTGCACTTACCTCTTAATATTTACATATTTACAAATGTCCATGATTGAAATTTGACATTGTTATGATAAATATACATTGAGTACGTGATTATAACCAAGGAAAATATTGAGATCGAATCTTATCATTGTTGAAGTTGTAGAAACATTTGATAAATCTGTTTAAAATTTCATTTATAAGATTATTTAATGTTAAAGATGATCATGTATTTAGCTGAATATCTTGTCTGTATAATGAAAACTAGATTGATCTGATTGTTAATAAAATCTTAAAGGCAATAAACGAATATATAAGATTGGTAGGAGAAATATTGTTTCGAATATTGTTGGAACATTATTTTATAGAATATCATGCTTTAGAAATAGAAACTATCTAAACAATATACGTCCGAAATCGAATCGTGATAGAAACAAGCAAATTAAAGAATAATATTGTAATAGGTTATTTTTTCAAACATGATAAGATCGCTCATCAATCGATAAATCGTCTAATTTATAAATAATTACACTATATGGAGAAGCATTATCTATTATTTAGTCGACAACAGTTTTGCCCGTATTGAAATAAAGTTTTTTATATTATTTCAATGAATGAGAATATAATGTAAGACGTCTATATACAGAGAAGTTCGAGACGTTTACGCAGCAAATTGTGGGTTTTATAGTTGTTAACTTCTTCTTTGAGCAAAGTAAAAAGTATGTGAATAGATTCATAATTGAATGTCCTGATAAGAGACAGAGATGTCCACAGGGTGAAATTTTACACCCTGCCCTGCCCTGTATCCTGTCATCCTTCTCCCCTGCTCTGTTAATAAGAAAATAAAAAATCTATCCTGCCCTGCCCTACCCTGCTCTATCTAGATAAGCAGGGCAGGGCAGGGTACCCTGTAGAATCGATATGCTCTCTTACTACGATTTTTAATTCAGTTCAACAGCAACAACGGTTGTGTATGATCTCATAGAAAATTGAGTTATTTAAATCTATTTCACAATATAAATGACTAATAGTTCAACTAATAAAATGCATGAATATTACCAAATGCAAGATAAGTAAATAGCATAATATACGCAACCTAGACTCACAAACTTTACTATAGATCTTCATCTGAAAAGAAAGTTCAACAAAAAGAACGACAAAAAATATATGACAGATACTATGAATAAGAAAAAAACAGAAAAATGCATAATTTATTTTTAAATAAAACATTTTCTACCGATTGTATAAATAAAATGTTTTCTAATTTATATGGTTGAAGATGACCTCTCCTTTCATTTAAGATTAGGAGTGTCAGATTAGCATTAGCATGGCATTAATTAATAATATTTTTAATGCTATTGTGTTGGAGTTAAAAAATTAACTTAATGCTTTTGCATTAGTGTTAAAAAAATAATTTAATGCTTTGGTATTAGTATTAGAAAAGTATTAATCTAATGGTAATGCTGAGGGTTCCCAAGAACAGAACAAAATTGGTCGCTTATGAGAATTTTTTTCCCAAAACAGAACAATTTTGTTGTGCTATGGGAAGCCGTTCCAAAAAAAAAGAACGAAATTGTTCTGTTATGGGAAAAAATTCCCATGAGGGAACAATTTTGTTCTGTTTTTGGGAACTATAAGCATTACCGTTAAGTTAATACTTTTCTAATACTAATGCAAAAGCATTAAGTGAATTTTTTAATTTTAATACAAAAGCGTTAGCGTTTCCTTAACACTAATGCTAAGCCGACACCCCTATTTAAGATCCAACCAGCAGTAGAAAATTCTCTTTCTACGTTAGTTGTCGTTGCAAAATGAACGACTGGTACCACCTTCTGTAACTTATTTTCGGTTTTTGACTCGAAAGGACAAAAAAAACACTGTTTTCAAAAATGAAAACTCAGAAAGTCAATATTCATATTTGCAGGGTATGAAGGTCTCTCCTTGTCCTACCCCGCACCCTGCGCTACCTTACTCTGCCCTGCTTCAGAACAGGGCAGGGTGCAGGGCAAGGTAGGATTACCCTGCCCTGTGAACATCTCTGGTAGGGCATCTTGATGACAGACCGTCATAATGAAATCGGTAATATGTCAATTCAAAGGCCTGGTATGTTTCTTCTCACGTTCAAAACCACAAAAAGATAGATGAATATAGTGAAAACTGGACGGAGCCTCTCAAATTTCACATATTTGACCCAGCTCCACCCTTATATCTTTGTCTCTCAAACCGTCAGTCGAGAGCGGATGGAAAGCAACTCATCTAATGCGAATATGGTGTTCGAACAACACTATTTTAATGCTAAAAATTATACCGTTTCAGCCAAATTGAACAAAAATAGTTCGAATCTGAGTATACTTCGAGCTTTTCGCTTCGCTATACCTTTCTTTCTATATTTTCGCCATTATCGATAGATAGAACTTGAAAAGTGAGATATATAGTGCGAGTTTCACGTCACACGAAGGTCGATGTCGTGCTAAATGCCAAGCATATGTATACTCAAATCTAATGAAAGAAACCTATTTCTATGGAATTGTGAGATTTAAATCACGTTCCACACTATTTTAACTATTTTAAAGATTACTAATCAATAGAACTTGAAAAATTAGCCTTATGACCCAAATTTCACGTTTTAGTAAGAGTGGCTTCACAAAAAGTC